AATAACTGGAAGGGAGTGTGTGGGAATAAAAAAGCACAGAATACCTTCAAGTCTAAACATTGCTGTTTTCTTCCAAGGTGGTTAAAAGAATCGTGGTGAGCCCTTGCCCCAGCATGGTTCTGGGTGCAGACTGGAAACTCTGGTTGGAGGACATAACATGGCGTTTGGTCCTTTTACTGTTGTCCGTCTTTGGGCTGTCAAAGCTGATGGCCAAGCTTTTCCTTCCGCAAGTTTTTGGGCTGACAGTTTTGGACATTTCATAGCGTGTCACTGTTTTTCTTCTTTTTTGTTACATATAAAAAAAAAAACTATTTGCTATTTTAGTGTGGTGCAATTTCTTCATTTTAAATCATTTTAATAACTTGTTTATTGTTATTGGGAACTCCTATGACAGCCCTATTTGAAAAAGTAGCAGACACATATTTAAATAAACATTACACAATGTTACTTATGGAGGCATTTTAAATTTTATTTTAAAAAGTCTGTTCTAATCATTAGGAAAAGACGTAGCTGTAATTCTGAAAGTCTCTAACTTCTGGCTGCTCTTCTCTGTTAAAAATTCTCTTTCGACTGGTTTATTTCCAAAACCTAAACCATTTTTTAAAAAACGAATACATAGTAAATGCAATAAAACTGCACTCATATTTTATTGTATAACAATTCTAGTCAAGAAATAACAGCTAAGAGCATACTTTGAGTTGACTTGTTGGGCTTTAATATGCCAATGATATATTTAGAAAAACATACTTGTTAGAAGTTGATGTTTCTAACAAAAATGTGTATCACCTAAACTGGTTATATATCCTTTGGCAGCAGTATTCTAAACAGCTAATTTTATTCTAGCAGAACATTGTTACACCCATTCTCTTATTTTGTAAAATGAACCTCATTTGCTTAATATGAACTCACTCCACAGTTCTTGTCAGTAAAGTCCACTATAGCCAGTTAAAGCTATGAAACAAAAATTCTAGATGTTACATTTACTTCAGCCATATTTTCACAAAGCCCCAACGAATCTGATTTTTGCTAACCTGCTGGCTCTTATTGGGCTTGCTAAAGATAAATGTGGGACTGCAAGAGTCTTGGAAATGCTAATGCAACCCCCCGGGATATACCTGGCACAGGGGACTCTTAGGTGCCCGACGGGTCACCAGCCTTGAAATACAGAAACTCCTGGGTGTGGTTGAGGCTTTCAGTGTTGATTTCTTTGGGTACATGAGACAATCCTGAGCCAAAGAGAGGTGCAGAGACAGCGATGTACAGGTTCCTATGCAGGAATAGAAATCCCATATGGGCTTGTGTACCACTTCCGTTCAGCTGCAATACACATGCTCAAGCATTCTCAGTCTGGGTGCGCACTATTCTCCATGATTATTAATTAATAGCTGTATCTTGATAGAAGCATATCCAAGATTTCTAAAAACATAGCTTGCTTTAGTCTGAATTGGGGGGGGGGGGGGG